AAGTGGGTTGGTTCATTACACATAGTTGTTGTTAAGTGCCGTCAAGTCAGTTGACTTGTGGCGACCCTATATAGGGTTTCCAAGGAGCAGTTGGGTTTGAACCTCTGATCTTGCAGTTAGCAGTCCAGTGAACTTACCTTAAAAGTTCTGAAATAATTAGATGGCTGAAGCCTATTACTGAAAATTCAACACAACTGAAAATAAATAGCAGCTAATAGTTTCTTCACATTCCAGAACCAACTCTACCCACTGCCATGGAGTCGATTCCAACTCATAGTGACCCTAATTGTTATTTCACATTTGTACTGGCTCAGTGTGTGTGCATTTTAAAGTTTAAATATATTTGGCAATATATTTAGCTCTCTTAAAAGTCTACTTGAAAAGCAACAACAAAACAACATATGGAAATTTGGAATGACTAACACCAACTTAAAAATAAACTCTCTGTAAAATAGTGTAGAAAAAATATTGGAATTAGAGCCGGAAAACCAGCGTTCAAATTCTGGCTGTATCATACCATATAGTAAGTAGCTGTGTGGATTTGGGTAAATTAAGTTAATTCTTCTGAAGATGAATCTTCTCATCTTCTAAAAGTACTACTTCTATGCTTACTGCACATCTACTGGGTAACAAAATTTTATGTTGTAGTCAATTAAAATTTCATAATAACCCTAGGAGGTTGGCATTATTATTATCATCCTTAATTTATAAATTACAAAATGTTTGTCATCAAGTCAATTTGAACTCATAGTAATCCTGTAGGACAAAGTAGAACTGCCCCACAGGGTTTCCCAAGAGTTCTGGTGTGGTGCTGTAGGTTAATGAGATGGACTGCAAAGTCGATTTGAACCACAAGGTCGATGGTTCAATCTCACCAGCCACTCCTTGGAAACCCTATACAGGGTCGCTATGGGCCAGAACCAACTAAACAGCACTCAACAAAAATAGTGATCTTTACTGAAGCTGATTACCTCGTCTTTTTCCCACAGTGCAGCAGGTGGATTCAAATTGCTGACCTTTGGATTATCAATTTAGTGTGCACCACCAAGGTTCCTTTGAAGCAAGATGCATTAAATTAACTTGCCCAACACATTATAGTCAGTAAGAAGTAGAGGCAGTGTGCCTTCAGAACTCAACTCTTAACCACTATACAGCCATTCCTCTTACAATATCCTCTCCAGAGTTGTCATAAAGATAAAATTAAAAACGAATTATTTTTTGTTTGCTTTTTGTTCTAGGCTACTTAATTAGTAACTGCAACTAACTAATAAGAGGGCAAATTCCACTAGTATATTCGTTCTATAGGTACAGTTATCTATCTGTAGACTACTTCCCTGGGCTATATTCTTATCCGGACCCAAGTAGATTTTAGTGTATATATAACCTGCCACTGAATCCTGGTCGGGCACTGTGGGTTAATGCACCAGTCTGCAAAATCATTTGAACTGCAAGGTTGGCAGTTCAAGCTCACCAGCTGCTCCTCGGAAACCCTATATAAGGTTGCTATGGGTCGGAATCAACTCGACGGCACTTAACAACAACAAGTCTGGTGTGGTGCTGCAAGATAAGTACTGGACTGCAAGGTTGGTTTGAACCACAAGTTCAGCAGTTCAAATCCACCAGAAAATTATGTAGTGCTTTTACAGCACCATACCAGGATTAGGATAAAGAAATAACTGAGTTGGCTCATGGAAATACTACTGAATTGGCATCTAAAGAAGGCACAACACAACTTCAGGGAGTTATAGGCATACAGGCCTGGCTTCTCCAAATTTCTGATATTTCAAGAGAATCCACACATCTGAGTTTTTATGTGAAATTTCTATTTTGATTCTAGGGAATAATTTTAATTTTCATAAGCCATTATATGAGTCAAACAAAATGTATGTCTGTATGTAAACACCTAGACATCCCCATAAGCTACCATTTTCAACCTCTGCTCTGGACTCTGAGGATATAGTCTTATAGTTGTGCAAATTCTTCAATATCTAGTATCTACATCTGGTTTCTGGTAAATTCACGACTAAGTAATTTGGCCTTCTAAGTTTATTCTTTCTGTATTGATCATTTAATGATCAAGTAAACCACATAACCACTAGATGTCTTCTCCTCTAAGGTTAGAGAGCAAAGCATACCTGAAAGCAAGGCTAGGTCCTTATTCAGGAAAGAAGTGGTCACTCTGTTGCTACCTTCATCATGACTATCTCCCATCCCGCCACAAGACTGAGAAGGCAGGGACCAGATCTTGTTTGACATCTTTCTAGACTCACCATTCATTGCCTGGTATAGTTGCTCACAGTATCCATACTTTCGTAAATGTTTGCTGAGCTGAATTTGAAACCAGATATGCCCTTTGATTTTTAGTTTAAATCTGGTGTGGAAACTCATGTTGCTGAACTATTCACACTTAGTTAAAAGTTTTGATCTTTAAGATTATGTCTATATTACAACAAAATATCCATTGTAGTCAATTTATGAAAAATAAAAATCAGACAAATCAGACTTGTAATTATAGAAAGATGTCTTGCTCTCATTCTATTTATTTTAGACCAATAAGAAAGGCAAAATGTAATTGGGAATCTATAACACATTTGAATGCTTTTTAAAAATTTGAAGTTTTTGTCTCATACTAGTATTATACTAAGGAGCTCTGGTAGCGTAGTGGCTATGAATCAGGCTGCAAACCTCAAGGTCAGCAGTTCGAAACTACCAGCTGTTCCATGGGAGAAATATGAGGCTTTTTGCTCCCATAAAGATGTACAGCCTCGGAAACCCTGTACAGGGTCACTATGAGTCAGAACCAACTCCACGACACACCACCACCACCAGTATTATACTACTGTTCTTGCTTTAATAATAAAATATGATTTATGGAGGTTGTTTCTTTAGCATAATAATCAATATAGAGAACAGTAATACTTTGTCCTAACTAAATGAAGAATTCATGTATGTCCTTAAAATCTAAAAAGCACTAATGATAAAAAATAAGTAACTACCACTCTAAAAAAAAAATCCCTCTGAAACAATTTTTTAAATATCCTAAGACATGAACATCTTCATTTTTAAAAATGTCGAGAATCCTAAGAAGGATTACACCATCATATAAGTGTAAGAAAATAATCACTACAGGACCACCACCTGCAATTTACATATCATGAAACTTCGAACATTTATGGTGAAAAGTATCTGTAGAAAGAATCCTCTGAAGAAAATTATGAGAATTCTGGATGCTAACACATGCTGATAAAGTCTTGTTTTACTCAATGTATCAATAAAATGCAAATATTTCACAAGTTCATTTGGACTTGAAACATACATACATACATAATTTAACTCAAAACCCATTCTAACTAGTGAAATCCACAATGAGTCCTCTCCTTTGAATCGTTTTCCGACAAGTAAATCCTTTTGGTTAAAACAATGCATTCTAACTTTTAAAGATCTTTATCTATTCTCCTGCAAGTTTCTGAAGACTCCCCTATCTTTGCAAATCACTCTCATCCATTTATGTCTCTCTCTCTCTCTCTCTCTCTCACACACACACACACACATTAAACACCTTATCAAATGTAATTAGCACATCTGGAAGTTTGTTGCTAAAAACTTCATGGTTTTAACAATATGAGTGTTCTCAGAACTGTTCTCAAATAACCAACACCTTTAAACAGTTTAAACTTCTCTATCTAATTATGCAGCTGATTTCAGTCTCTTGATTCTATATAAAAACACAACCAAATACTTAACATGTGAATTCTTTTTCAATTTAAGCTAAATTATCAAAAAGTTCCATCTGAAGTAAGTCAAGTGATTGTAATTAGATATTTTGAATTTTTTTTCTCTGAAAAAAATAAAGAGAATTAACATTTAGTTGAAAAATTATTACAGGTTTGCTATTATTGTTAAGTGCTGTGGAGTTGGTTCCAGATTCATACGACCTGGTATAGGGTTTTCAAGGAGCAGTAGGTGGGTTTGAACCACCAACCTTGCACTTTTCCTGACCCCGTTGTAACTGTCCTGAAAACTCCCACACCTCTTTAAAGAACTGTAACTGAAGAAGTGACTTTTGAACAGGTTTAAATTTGAGTGATTAGTAAGGATAACTCATTATAAAATCAACATGCAGAATTTTCACTTAAATTTGAATTTCTGGATTCAAGTAAGGCATCACTATTGCAGCAAATGACAATGCTAAAGAAAGACTAATGAAATAAAAAATGTCAAAGATTAGAGAATTTAGAGTACAACTGTGAGGATGAAGTAAGTAGCTCATGTGTCTGATAGTCCCCACCTAACTGACCTAACTGTTTAGCACCTGTTAAGATCTTGGACCTGAAGGACCAAATTGAACACCTATTTTACAGATAAGAAAACTGAGGCTACAAAGACAAACTCCTACCAAGGAGTGTAAGGAAAACAATGAACTTGAGGTACAGAGCAACGAGCCAGTGCTCTATTATTTTAAGCTGCTTCAGTTACTCAACTGATGCAAAATCATTTTTGTATCCTCATTTCAAGGAACTTTTCTAATTTTCTACTGTGAATTGTTTTATTCTATGCTTGAGGAGTTTATGTCCTAGTTTCAAAAATTAGAGCAAAGTTGAGGAAATGCATATCCCTGCACTTGCACTATTTATTCCAAAAATATTTACTTGAAGTTATTCTAGGATTTGACAATTTAGTGCTACTGAAGCTTAAACCACAACATTTTAACAAACCCCTTCCACACCCCACAGGCTCTCTCTCTCCTTTGGTCCATTCTGTCTTCAAGTAACTAGTCTCTATTTTCGGCACTAACACCATTTCTGAAAGTGAACCAAGACACTTCTGGCCAGATCAAAGCAAAACGGAAATCTTTACCAATATTTATCTTCACAGGTATTTTTACCTTTTTTTTTTTTTTTTTTAAAGTATGCCTGGAACTCAAATGAAACAGCAGCTTGAAAATGCAGAGCCCAGCCCCAAGCGGCCTGGCTGTCCAGACTGCACCTGTTACCCTTTACCTGTTTGTAAGACCACAGTTCTCTCTTCTCCATCCAGAGACACAATCCTGAGGTTATAGAGGGTTCCCGCTTGTAAATCCTTGGGGTTACATTCATAGGTGGTGTTGTCTATCTGCACAGGGTAGCACCACTCAGTACCCGAAGTGTCACTGTTATAGATGAGACTAAAGTTACAGGGTGACCCCAACGTTCTCCACTGAAGAGACACGGACTGGCTGGAGACTCTGGACTCCAACTGGGTGATGTTGCATCTCACTGGCTCCCCTAGTCCAGTCTGCAAAGGAACCAGAGACAACAGCTGAAGCTCCTGCAGTCGGGTCTGCCCAGGAACTTGCTTCACCAACTCGCCCCCAAGCCTCAGGCATCCTTATATCCCCAGCCGGAGAAAAGGCGAGTGCCAGTGTGGGGAGACAGGTGGCAACTTTCTCCCCAGCTGCTTTCTATCAGAAGCAGCTAGAATGAAACGGTGGCTTTTTGTCTTTGACAGCAGGATGAGGTGTCAGTCTGGGGCGCAGAGGAGGATGGTTCCCAAGGGAGAGAAGGGAGTTTTACCTTCTCGCTCTCCGGGAGACATGAAAGTGGAGTGGGAATTTCGTTCTCTGTGGGGAGGTGATGTATCAGCCCGACCCCATCTTGGGCCACTCACCTGCATCAGGCTCAGGGTAATCCATACGGCCAACTCGGCTCCATGGCTCAGCATTGCGCTCAGTAATTACGACCCAGATCAAACAGAATGGGTTCCGACTCAGGGCAGCCCTGAGGGCCGATGCTAGGAAACTAGGGCTCAAGGTTGATGGACGTGGTGGGCACAGCCCCGGCGGGATAACTGGTTACTTGTTGCGCGCGCTTAGCGCGCCCCACGGGCGCAGCGCGCTTCCCTAGGGCCTGGCGACGCGCGGGGCCCTCCGCGACTTCTGCTACTGCTGCTGTTACCTCCCCTGGCGGGTTGAGGACGCGAGAGGCGGCGGGGGCAGGCAGCGCGCCGCCCTTCCCACGCTGCCATTCTGACCCGCGCTGCCTCGCCCCTAGCCCCGTCCACGGACTTCCGCAATCAAATGGCAATTTCCTCGTCTCCCGGCAAAGGAACAATGCGCTGGGGAGGGAGGGATCCCTGAAGAGCCAAAGCCTGAGGCTGCCAAGGGGCCCCAGGAGGACCAAGCTGCCCCTGTTGCCCTGCTCTGCCACCTCTCGGGCAAGGGTCCCTATGCGACCCGCGGGGCCCTGCCTTATCCGCCTCCCGGACTTTCACTTTTTCCCATTTTGTAGTCCTGGACTCAGTCCTCTTAGCCACAATTAGCACTAACTCCCTCTCACTTTCCAGCGCCACCCCCCCCTCGGCCCCCGCCCCTTTCCTCACTCCACACCCAGCGCCTCCCCCTCCCTATCTTCCTTCCTATCTTCCTCATCTGCTTTCTCCAGGGCCTCTTTTCCCAGGATTAAACTTGACCACAGCAGATTTCCCTAGGTCTTTACACTCTTTCCTGAAGGCTTTTATTAGAGTGCTTTTGCCCTTCTCACCTCAAAGCATTCATTTGTCTCAGTGCGCATCCCCTTGACACCAGGCAAGAGGAAAAGACACCAAAATGAGCCCCTTCGTTCCAGTCCTTGTCAACTTCACTTCCATTCTTTTCTCCCACTCACCAAGCTAGTGTCTTCCTCGAATGGTGCTACCAACCAACCAACATAATCACCACCAGTTGTTCAACACGCCAAGCAGCTTCATTACTGACCATCCAGTAGTTAAAAGCCATCCCACCTGTAACTGTGGAGCTAATGTGAAATAAACCAAAACAATTTCACCCCTCATTTGTGGAAAATACATACTATTGAAATGGCTCATCTCCCCTCAAATATACAAAGAAGTTGCTCTTTCTTACTCAGTCTTCAGGACTAACTTTATTCTTTTTAGTAACTTTTCTCACTACCTGGATGATTATACAGGGGCTTCAGGACTTCAAAAAATTCGTGAAAAACTGGAAATGTTTCCATGAACTTTTTGACGCCCCTCATTTTAATGAACCTGGATTTTAGGATAGTAACTTATAACTGAAAATCGTAACACTTATTTTCTATTGCTTTTCCTTGGGAGTCATCCTTAATAACTACTGAAAGAGGTGAGTTGAATATAATTCCACATTTTAATTTCCAGACCAAAATAGCTCTGGTGCAAAACCAGCAGGAAAGGTGATATGTTCCCTTCTTTTTCAAATAGATAGGTTATATACAAAGCTATATTTTTGGCTACTTTACCAGGATTTATACTTTGGGGAAAAGCAAGAGCAAATTAATGAAAAAATTGTTTACCTCCCCTTCAGAGATTTAAAATCTCTTTGAAGTTAGCAACCACTCTAAGAAGTTCAGACCGAAATCATCAGGAATTGCTTTAAAAAATGGTATCTTTCTTACGTCTCTTGTTTTACTAAAAAGCTTTTCCTCTTTATATTTTGTCCTCGAACTTCAATGGATTTCCATGGCTTTGTATACATTTCACCATCATCAGACACCATCCTGTCCTCCCCTCCTCAGATACTACAGTTTCAGTAGAGATCCTGTTGCCTTCAGCCTCTACATGAGTGTTTATTTTTTCAGCCCTAAACTCTGGTAGTGTAGTGGTTACGAATTGGACTGCTAACCTCAGGGTCAGCAGTTCGAAACTACCAGCTGTTCGGTGGGAGAAAGATGATGCGTTCTGCTCCAGTAAAGATTTACAGCCTCAGAAACCCTGTACAGGGTCGCTATGAGTCGGAGTAAAAGGATAGAGAAGCAATCAGAGGAGGGAGTACTTCACTACTATCTGGAAAGAACAGCCAGGAGTAGAGCATATCCTTTGGCCCTGGGGGCCCTTGAGTTGAGAACCTTCTAGAATCAGGGGAAAATTGACACCAAGATAGATGGAGATCTCTAAGATCTCTAAGAAAACAATAAACAGACAAGGACATTTTTCCAGAGCAGACACAAAGAGAGAAGGACTTCCCCTGAGACCACGTTCTGAATTTGGACTGCTAGGTCCTTAAACTATTTGTTAAAGCCACTCATAGTATTTCTGTTTAGCAGCACTAGATAACTAAGACAGCATCCAAATCTAACTATTTTTTTGCTCTCTTTTAAATGTATTAATCACATAGATGAATCACTTACCTAATTTATGCTGCTTGGCCATCTTTGTCCATCCTTCCCTTTACCCTTTCCATTGGAGCTTCAAAATTTCCTCACAGATAGTCATTCAGATTTATAGTCTTTTCACACAAATACATTAAAAATTCTTCTGTCCTTTTCAGAAACCTTAAATAAATCCTATCTCCTCCAAGTTTTCCCAAATATCTTTTAATAGTTTTAAACATACCAAATGCTATCAGTATACTGTAACCTAACAGGAGTCCTGGAGTTCTGGTGTGAAGCTGTGCATTAATGCGCTGAACTGCAAAGTTAGTTTGAACCACAAGGTTGGTGGTTCAAGCTTACCATCCACTCCTCAGAAACCCTATACAGGGTTTCTATGGGTTGGAACTGACTCAATGGCACTTAACAACAACAACAACAACAGGAGTCCTGGTGTGGCACTACAGGATAAAAATGGTTGACCACTGCAAGGCCAGCAGTTCAAACCCCCTAGCTGCTCCTTGGAAGCCCTATACAGGACTGCTGTGAGTCAGAACCAACTCGATGACACTTAGCAACAACAATATCAGTTAATAATTTTAAATTGAATTTAATTTTCAAAATACTGTCTGCTAAAAAGTTCTCATTATAATACAAATAAATGTACCAAAAAGTAAAATATAACACCAATAACAAAATATCCTTACACCACCACCATTTTGATACCTCCCAATTCTGTATCATTAACAGTGATTCACCAGAAATAGAAATTAGAAAAAGAAGTAATTTACTTAAATATAATTTTATTTTTGATCTGTCAAGAGGGGCATATGTATTTAGAATTATGTATCTTTCATCTATTATAACATCCTCAACATATATGAAGAATCTTAGCAACACAGGAAAGAACCAGAATAGCAGACTTTTCAAAAGTATGTAACTGCCAATTCTCATTTTTAAGAATCTTCAGAGTCATAGCATTGCTCTCAAATAATTGTTGGTGTTGTTAAGTGCCATCAAGTCAGTTCTGAATCATAGTGGAAATTGGATAGGAGTTCCAAGAAGTGACTGGTGGGTTTGAATTGCTGACCTTGTAGTTAACATTACATTGCTTATCCTACAGCAGCAAACTAGGACTCCCTGAAATAATTAGGAAGGCCTAAAGAGCCCATCAAAATGAACACATTATAAAACGAGGAAGGAAATTTTGAACTCAGGCTTTTACTGATCATATTTTTCCTTTTGTGTGTGTGTGTTTAAAGCAGACATTAATATGAGTAATCAGAGAGAACTGTAATAATTTCAAGGAAATATGTGACTGGGATATGCTGCCAGATACCATCTTTTCTACTAAGACTTTATTGGAATTACTGTGTAAAATATAAATAAATTGATCCATCATTCTGTTTGTTTGGAATTCCTCAACTTCATTTGAACCTACTTATCCTGCATAATGACACTGCATTTCTGTTAGAACTTGATGCTATTCAGGAATTATAGATCAGTCTCTCTATAACATTACAACATTTTCTTGTTTCTACTATAAAATCTTTCCCAGACTACGTGGCAAAGGTGGGGCTAATTTTGATTAGTCTTGAGAGAACAAGTAGCTGCCTTAAAAAAAAAAAAAAAAAGATTGCTAAAGCAATTAATTAATGGCTAAAAGCATGGATTTTTTCATTTTATGAACATAGACACCAAGTGATACCACAGGCTACCAAGGGTGTATGACTGCTACTTTACATCGAAGGAGCTCTGGTAGTATAGTGGTTACAAGTCCAGCTGCAAACCTTGAGGTCAACAGTTTGAAACTACCAGCTGGAGAAAGACAAGGCTTTCTGCTCTTGTAAAGATTTACAGCCTTGGAAACCCTATATAGGGGTCACCTTGAGTCGGAACCAACTCCACAGCACATAACCACCACCAGCACCACTTTAAATCAGAATTTGAGCTGGGCTGGGGACAGGTTGGTGAGATGTTGAATGATGAGAGGAGGGTAAGCAGGTTGGTAAAGTTGATTTGCTAATCCAAACTCTTTACCCATAACCTAAATGGCTGGATCTGACAGTATGTTCATTCATTCATTAAATACTGACTGAGGACCCACTGTATGCAGACATTAGTCTAGATTTTGAGAATACTCTCATGGAGCTGACATTTTCCTGCCCCCATGCCTTTGTGCTTAATTTTTCTCTTCTTGGAACACTTTCTCCGATTTTCTGGCTGGCTATTTTCCTTTCATTCTTTGGGTCTTAGTTTAAACATACCCTCACAGTAGGCAGGCTCTTTTGACCTTACAGGGTAGAACCATGTCTCTTTATTTTCATCTTCCATCACAGCAACAGATTTGTTTAATTCGGATCATTAATTACATTTGTAATTACTTAATGATTTGCACATTTATGTGCTATCTGTTTTTTTTAGGTTATATAAGAAATTCCATTAGGGCAGTTTTGTTCTTCTTTCAAGGTTTACATTAGAATCTCAACAAATACATGTTGAGTAAGTGAATGAGTGAATCTTTGTAGCTGTTCAGTGGATAAATACAATCTAATCAAGTCCTTTCATGAAACTTGATGACACCTAACGACAACAAATAAATCACTCTAAACTTGGTCTTATTGG